CGTTACGACCACATTCGTAATAAGATGTTGGTTGCACATGAGTCCGGGCAAAAATCGCTTCAAAATACCATGAGGAACTGGAGACATGATGAAATTTACTGTCAAAAATAAAATGTAGTGTTGTAGTTCCTCTTGAGCGGCCTTAGTGTTTTATTGTTTAAAATTTCAAACTTACCAACGATCTTATTTGATAAGGTTTGATCAGGAAGCTGGCTACTTCAGAATAAACACGCCGTCTTTTCTTTGAGACAATTAATTTCAATATGTCACAACTTCACGCTGTATTTAAGCTTTTGTGCCGTTAAGAAATTATTTAAACAGCACTTACGCGATCAAGCATGAACTCTACAAGATCTCAACATTTTCCTCTGGGAAATTAACATCACGTCATTTAACAAGCTGCAAGTGACGAGATGTCATTTTTTTTTCTCAGAGCAATCTTGTTGGTCCCAAAGATCCCATAAGTGCCCAGTTGGATTGAATACTTGGAAGTTTGGGTGGCAAGAGTAACCAGTTGGCCTCGTTTTCAATCTATAAAAATTTAATAATAATCAATGTCGTCACTCAAATCTTAATTATTTTTAGTATGCTGAAAGATTCTCGATCCGACTTAATTCAAAAATTGACAAAATGACCAAACGTAGGTGTGTTCTGTTAGATTTTCACTCTCTTAAGATGAATGTTGCCCATTAAGCGAGTCTTTCGATGACTGACGAGGGAGATTTTTTCCCGCAGTAGGTTGCCATTTCTTTCTGCGTTAAACCAGTTGCCATCCAAGGCTATAGAACCTGGTCTGTCCTGCTATGTCGTCTTTGCTGCGGGGGTAGGGAGAAGAAGAGAATTCATACCTTTCCCAAGGGTATTAGCACGTAAGTGGATTTCAGTCAATTATATGATACACGCTTAGTCGATCACGTATCTTTCGATACATGACTGACGAGGCAGATTTTTTTTCCCGCAGTAGGTTGACATCTCTTTCTGCGGTAGACCAGTTCCCATCCAAGGCTATAGAACCCGGTCTGTTCTGCTATTTACTCATGGCTGGTGGGGGAGAATAAGAGGATTCATACCTTTCCCAAGGTTATTAGCAAGTAAGTGAATGTAATAGATTCGACTGGAATTCAAAACTCGGCTCTCCTATTCCTCAAACCAAGCCGCTATCGGCTAGAAAAGACCGTACATTATAATTCTATGGTATGCGCAGATCTGCAGTTTGTATGTTATAGCATTTTGAAGTTTTTACTTAGTGTACATTCTTACTAAATTACTTATATTTGAGAACCTTGTTTCTTCTCTTTCTTCATTGCTTATGCGCCACTTATAAGCATGGCAGTGACTTAAGAATTTGAAGTCTCCCTTAATTTGCCTTTTCTCCATACATTGTGTAAATTTCATAGCGAAAGATGCCTCCCAAAAGCTAAGCAAAGTATTAGGAAACAAGAAAATATTCTTAGAAAAAAAGAAACGATTACTGAACAGTGATGTAATATTCGTTCCGCTATATAGCAGTGAGTACTGGGCAATCTCACCACAGATGCAGAAGAGAATTGAGGCAACGGAAATGTGCTTCTACAGAAGGATGCCGGGAAAAACATGGAGTGAGCATGTGAGCAATGGCGAAGTTTTTGAGAAAAAAATGAAACAAAAAGGACACTTAGTTAAAAGAAGACAGCGGGACTTTTTACGGCACAAAATGAGGAAAGAGGGCTTAGAAAATTTGACACTAACAGGAAATATTAAATGCAGGAAGACAGAGGAAAACAGTGCATGGTCCATCTAATGAGCTTGTGTAAATGTTTAGCAGAACAGAATTGGGCACGAGAGCAAAAAGAGAAATTTTACTAAGAGCTACAAAGGACAGGGAAGAGTAGAGAGCCATGATCGCCCAGGTCCTGAATGGACACGGAGCATGAAAGAAGAACAATAACTTAACTCTTAATTTGTCTGCATTTACCATTAAGATGATTTACAGAGTTTTATATATATATTTATTGCTTTAGTCTTTAATTAAAAAATAAAAAAATCGATATACTGAAGCCATATGGCGAATAAAATTGATTTATGTTTTTTGTTTTTTTAATTCTTAGCCACAAGTCTTCGTCGGCTTTATCTCGTATCCAAGAAATTAATTTCTTCTTTGTTGATCGCTTCCTTTATGATGATAGCGTAGAAGACTAAATTCGCCACCAACATGCAGGTTCAGAACTAGAAGCTTCCAGCTTCACCAAAACCTGCAGCCGTCATCCATTCCGCCCATGAAGATTGCGGTTAAGCATGAAACAGACTCTCGCCGCTTGCTGTTGACTCAAATGTCCTATTTTATATTTACATCCGCTTTGACCCGTAAATTTAGCATACCTTAAAATATATATTCATTCATACTCTGGTTTCCATCTTCAAAGTCTATTCAAGAACCGTCAAGAGATGAGTGAAAAAGTTTTAAAAAGAAGAAGCAGTAGAGAGGAAAACTCGACCAGGAGATTACAGCAGGGAAAGGGCTCATCATTTCAACTTGGCGCTAAATACATTCTTATTGTTCCAAGTAGAGTCTAATAGTGTTATAAAAACCTCGGCGGAGAAATCCAATAAGATATCTTTAACTATTTCTAAGATAAAAAGGTTCAAAGCTTAATCTAAAAATTTGGACAACTTTGTTGGAATTTTTGGGTACTCTGGTGTACTAGTA